ACCCCCCCCCCCCCCACACACACACACACATTATTAGACATGTGCAAAGACTAAAAATTAATTTCAAATGAAATGGACAAAAAATAAAAACGTTTAATTATTTTCATCAAACAAAACACATTTTTATGCTATTTTGGATTCAGCCACTGGCGTGTTCTGGAGGCAAGGCGCATGACGTCATATAACATCGCACGTGTTGGCCGCCGCCATCTTGGTGTATATCTAGGTATACACCAAGATGGTGGGGCCAATATTGGCATGTGACGTCCCCTGACGCCATGAATGCACGGCGTCATATAACGTCATGCTTCCCGCCTCCAAGATGGTGGCACGCATTCAGAGAACACGCTGGTGGCCAACATGGCTGCTGCACATTCTCAAACAAATTATGTGCCTGAATACATGTTAAGTATATTCGGACATATACAAATTCATTAATTTTACATGTAGTCTAGGTTTTGTGTTCTGTTTTCTATTTTTACTTTTCTAGATGCACTTACTTGAAGAAAGGGTTCTGCGTGACTTCCTGACACTTTATTTTTATAGACTCTATTTTAGTTTGACATTTATTGTTTGCCTTCTGTTGTTTTATTTGATAAGAATACTTTTTATTGTGCCTACAAGTGTAATACCTTTGAATAAAAGTTGTATTTGTCACTGAGGGGCGCTGTAAAGCTTTCTTGCACAGGGTGCCTAAATGCCTAAGGCCGGCCCTGCCTGTATGTCTAATTTTAAGTCCTCTGCTTCTGTTACAGTAGCTGCTGCTTCCCTCTCTATAGCAAGTATCTCTATGTCCGCCTCTAGAAAGGCTTTCTGCTGCTCTATAGATGCCTCATACTGTACCTTCTCAGTCTTCAAGCATGCTTTCTCAGCTTGCATCCGTGCCTTTTGCCACATTTTCCCTGCTTCTAACTGTGCTTTTTGCTGCACCCTCTCAGCCTCTAACCACATCTCTTGCTACACCTTCTCAGCCTCTAACTGCGCTTTCTCTTTTCATCTACATTTCTTGCTCAGAAAAGGTTGTTTTGGCCTTTGAAGCTTCAGCTTTTGCACATGCAATGGGGAGTGCGTTATTTGCAGATGAAGATCTAGAGAAATCGAATACCTTGGGACCCTGTTTTAAGTGAAGATTTCTGACTATGTGACATGTTGGTTCTGTAGGTGCTTGCCTGTGTAGAGACTGCTGTATTGTCGCATGCAGGTGGTTGTGCTGATGAGTAGCAAGCCTCTGTGTAGTCACTGCTGTTTATCCCACCTGCTGGGTAGCTGCTGTTTCACTGTTCTGTCCCCGCTACATGTTGCTCTGTGGCCTGTGTATAGATCGACATCCAGCTAAAGCCTCCTATTCTGCAATAGCCCAGACTGAGTGAAATCTTGATGCTTTAGCAACAAAACAGGGTGGGGTATATATACATATAAAAATGTATTTATATATACACACAGCATATATTTACATTGGTCCAGTTTGGCACAATGTAAGCATATATACATATCGATGATACCTGGCAGGACCCCGGGGATCCTGCAATACACTGTAGTAGCCACAGCTGCTACAATGTATTAAAGCATCTTCTAGGGTCCTGAAACAGCTGCTTTGATGGGAGACTCCCCTGTGCTGTAAAACCACAAAGAGGGGAATTTGTCAAAACAGAGAGAGAGTCACTCAGCTGATTATAATGGTTATTGTGCACAATAAAATATATAAAAATAAAAAGTTGCCCAAACCCTGTAAAGGTATTTATCACATTACCAAGTGTTATTAAGTGTATGTTGTGTCAACCATTTATTGACTTTCACTAGAGAAATGTTTAAAACTGTTGGTATTTGTGCCGTTTATTTGACATAGGATAATATTTAATTCATATTTCAATTTCAGTTACGGACGAGTTTATGCTACCGACCCCTACCACCACACACTTGCTCCAACAGCCACCTACGGCGTTGGTGCCATGGTAAGTTTCCTGTTGATGTTTTTACAATAATGTTTTACTACATATGTTTATTTTGGTCTAGCATTTCAGGGACATAAATCTGTATGAAAATTTTTAGGTGTAATTTAGATTTAAACAGTTATAGGTTAGAATTATAATTTGATGTCAAGCCATTATATTTTTGTATACATACTAATACACACACCCACAGTAGATTTTTTTTGTAACTTACTGCTATGGTAATGTTGCTGCTGTGGTTTTTATTGTATTTTATATTTTGACATTTAGTTGTGGGATGGTAAACTAATATTTTAAAAGTTTAAATTGTTTGAAAAGGAACCTTACAAAACAAATCCATTAAATTGCTTTGTTTCAGAATGCTTTTGCACCCTTCACTGATGCCAAGACTAGGAGCCATGCTGATGATGTCGGTCTCGTTCTTTCTTCATTACAGGCTAGTATATACCGAGGGGGATACAGCCGTTTTGCTCCATACTAAATGACAAAACCATATAACTCTTCCAGTGTGGGGAAAAAAAGAAGCTTTCCGAGGCCTGGGTATTGCAATACATGCAGTAGTGCATCATTTTAGCAACTCTAAATAACTAAATAAAACTCAAAAAGAGAAACATTACATTTTTTATCCTATACCTCAGATATTTTGTTCTGTGTATTTTAATATTGTGGGTCTTTAATTTATGAAGGTTCTGTAGTTGATTGTTGGCTGTAGATTTTTTTGTGGTTGACCTAGAAATCTACTACTGTAGATATGAATAAAATATTTTAAGGCCACAATCAAGAGTGTTAACCAATTATATATGCTGAATATTAAGCTACTGGAATTATCACATTTTGCAAGCGTGTAAGTGACTATAGTAGTCATATCTTCATTTACATGTAACTCAGTTTATTAGGGAGGGCTAAAATGCTGATACATCAAAGCAAAAAGGTTTCCACTGCACTAAATCTTATTAAGTGACTGTCCTAAATTATTTATTTATTGTCCAGAGCCAAAGGTTGTGTTAAATTTGTGAATCTGACTCTTTGTATATACAACCTGATGAAATACTATTGTAGCGTACCCCTTTTTAAGTATTCCATCAGATAGTATTCAGCTATTAACGATTACTATGTTCATGTATAACAGTTTGAAAAAATAAAAAAAAATAAAATCAGAAAAAAATAAAATGTGAAAATATAAAAAATGTAAAAAGAAAAAAAGAAAAAAGCTAGTTAGGTCATTTACATTCTTTTTATATTACTTCCAATATATTAAATTATTGATATCATTGCTGATTTTTATAACGTGGGAGGGGGAATGTTATTAAAAAGATAAAAAAGCACTGTTTCTACTTTTTCTTTTTTTTTGAAAGCTGTAAAGGGAAAGTAATGAAAATAAATTAAATTGTTTGTACCAGTTAACATTTAAATCTGTGCAGTGGAGTTGTTGAGTTCTAAAAAATAAAAAAATAAAAAAAATATGCAGCCTATAATGCTTTAGTTTTAGCCTAGTAGAACATCTAATAGAGAAAAGTATCATTTTTATGGAATTACATATTAAATATATTGAGATTTATATAAACATTTTACAAGTATTGCAATCATTTAAGTAGAGATAATCAAGGTATTTTCAACTGCTTGGTATTTTTTTGAAAACATTATATTGTGTAAGCAATCTGCAATTTTTCAGTTTGACAGAGTTCTTCTACTCCTGTTTACGTTTTAATTAGGAGAGAGACTTGAAATACTGTATGTCAGTTAATTATACAAGAATTGACAAACAGGCAACAATGTTTATTATTGCTAATGCTAAGCAGTCCCGTTAAGATCCATGTTTTCTAGACTATATGGATTATATCTCTGTATAGTGAAATTATATATCTAATGAACCATCTTCCATAAAATGTTTTTCATACTGGGAAACAATTTCATTCGTTTGACTTACATGGGTCTTAATGGTATTTTTTTATTTAACGTGAGTAGTTGTAGTTTACTGCTATAATGGTTTAGTGCACTATATTTAATGAGAAGATTTTTACCAAAATTAAAATTTAGTATATATTAGACCATTATATAAATTATTTTAATTGCTAACATATTGAACTTTCATTTTTTGTTTTCTATACTGTGAAAAAAATTCAATTTTTCAGACTCGCTAAACCAGTCATTACATAAAGCACTAATTTGTGGTCAGAATGCATGTATATCTTGTAATTTATGAGAAGCCATCCATACAGCAAAAATACATGATTGGTTAACTTCTGATGCAATTCCATAATAAAAAAGCAAATAACACCTGTGATTTGTTGTCATACATGATAAATGTTATCTTGTATTTTTATGGTTTTATGTGGCCAAACACTAGCAATTACCACAACTCTTATGTAAGCTAAGAACAGAGATTTGGAGCCAAACGTATTATCAAAATATTCTATTCAAATCATTCCTGAGAGGCAGTTGTATGATACTTAGTAAACCAACATATCAGTAATGTATTAACCATTATGCAAATGAATACCCTACATTATTGATATGTTTGGCTATGTTATTAAATATGATATATGAAGAAATACTGCTTTTTTAAACAGGAACTGAAACAGTGGTACAACACATAAAGGACACATGTCTACTTCTACTCAAAAATATAAGTATTTCTTTACTTCAGCAAACATAAATCCCAAACATTGACTGAATGTTGAGAAACACAAACTTAAAAATATGTTTGAGGAAAAATGTACTGCTTAGTCTAGAAACACCTACACAGAGCAGGGAGAGTTGAATTAAGAGTAGTAAGTATTGTGTATTAAAGGATAAAGATACAAACAATTCCCTTTGTCATGATACTGAAAAATTGCAGTTTGTCTGTGCATTTGTGTAGATTCTTTACATGGTGTCCTATTTATGAACTAACCAGAGCTATGGTGGTCATGAGAGGGTTTGTTCTTGTATTTGTATTTGTACAAATTATTTAAAAAATAACAAAAATAAATTAAAATGGGAGGTAAGGACTAAACTTGGGTATGAAGCCCTTTGCATTTTTTTAATTGCAAACAATATCTTCATATGTGCTGTGTCGGTCCAGTGAGACCACCACTGTATTCAATTTTTAACTCACTGCTGTGAATCTACCAACTTGCTATAAACTGCTTCAGATACAAGTGTTTGTGACCAGATTTTCTCTTTGTCATCATATGTGCATGCAAGTATGATCAGTTGAACATACATCAATAAAGATCCACAAAACATGAGATGTTTTCAGTACTGTTTCTAAGTATAGAGAGTATCTTATACTGTATGTTAAAAAATATAAAGAAAAGGTACAAACAGATAAGATAGAACTTACTGTACTGTGTGTCTTATTTTCAGTAAAAAAGGGATATTCCCTTCAGTATATTTAAACTATATGCAAATCCAATTTAAAATGTACTGTAACACTGGGGGAAAAAAAGACAATATTTTTTTAATTGATCGGCATCACCTCTTAAATCAACAGTGGGGGTTTGCAACGTTTTTTTAAGACATCTCATACAGATAGTGATTTTAATCAGATTTATTTAACACATGTGATGTGACTGAGTGGTATATTTATTCTCAATAAGAAAGGCAGATAAATTACATAATGATATTAGTTGGGAGAAAAAGAGGTATCCATGTGTCCCTGACTGAATCTTCCATTAATTAGAAAATAATTAAATGTGTTTGTCTGAGATAGCTTTATTTGTGTTTTTTATTTTTTTTAATAATATATATTTGGAATGTTTTCATGTATGTAAATATTCACTGAAGATATAAAATATAAAATAAATTATTAAATGCCATGTGTGGATTATAGTGACTTCAAAAACAAATTATCAAAAAATCTGCAAACCCAGAAAATGCATATATCTGTCTTTAGAAATGAGTGTTTATATCACTACAGTGGTTTGTGAATAAAGAACAATGGTTTGTAATATGAAAAAAAATTAAAGCTTAGTCTTAAAATGTACAAATAATGTTATCATGGGTGTTTATTTACTTTGCTAACAACACAAAATGAAAAAAGAATGCAAGGAAAATAAAGATTTTAGAATGCTTTACACTGTATACCTGTATCAGCATTTTGGTTCTACACATTGTGGGGTCTATTTATAAATGGTTTCACACAAAATATAAATAAATGCCAATGTCAAAAACATTTACTTTTTTAAAAGAGAATGGATACAAATTTGAACATCGGTCAGGCTTTAAACTATGGAGCTGAGTTACAAAAGGAGTTGAGAAAGTTTGTGCAATACATTGTGTGAATATTAACTTCAATTATCCAATCACATGCAGATGAAATAAATAAACAGGGATTTGCTTTTTACGTGATTGGATAATTGAAGTAAAAATTATTTAGTAAATCAGCCTCAGAATCTGTGTTTCCACTGATGAGATTGTCCCTTACTTCCTGTTTATCTGAAACATTTTACCTAGATAGAAAGTGAGGGAAATTCTCTATAACAGGGACAGGCATTAATAAAAACAAAAGATCTAATTTTTCTTCCCTCTACAAGATTTGATTTTCCCTCACTGCCTGTTGTGCATGACACTGTCTCACATAGACAGAGTAAGGAATCTCAGAAATGGGCACAGACTGCAGCAGCAAGTTAACAGAAGTTATAACCATTCTGCATTATATTGCATTAAAAAAATATTTAAATACAAGAATTAATACTAGTCATTTTCTTTTGACATTTTTCCTTCAAGTAAAACTAAGAAATTAGGTGATCTAAATATTTTGTATAGAGATATCTGTACATACAGTAAATACATTGTATTCCTAATACTAATATAAATGTCATAAACCTTAAATCTTTAAAACAGAACTAAAGTCTGTCATCATGCCAAGAAAAAACTCAAAACCCCATCTACTAATGTCTGCTATTGCAAGAAGACTTCCAACCCACTTTATTTTTTCTCTTTCTTTGTTTGCCAGTGTAGTCCACTTGAGCCAAGCACTTGTGGAAGCCAGCACTATCTTGATTTTGTCTCAGTGATAATTTCACATTTGCCTCTACCCTCAACTGACACCAAAATGAATTCCTGCACATGTGCACATGAAAAGGAGCCTAGTTTGTCTTTCATTAGATGGTTGCTATGGTACTGTGACATACACACACACACACTATATTGCCAAAGTATTGGGACATCTGCCTTTACACGCACAAGAACTTTAATGGCATCCCAGTCTTAGTCTGTAGGGTTCAATATTGATATGGCCCACCCTGTGCAGCTATAACAACTCTTCTGGGAAGGCTGTCCACGAGGTATAGGAGTGTGTCTATTGGAATTTTTTACCATTTTTCCAGAAGAACATTTGTGAGTCTCCGCTCTAATTCATCCCAAAGGTGTTCTATCTGGTTGAGGTCAGGACTCTGTGCAGGCAAGTCAAGTTCCCCAAACTCGCTCATCCATGTCTTTATGGACCTTGATTTTGGCACTGGTGTGCAGTCATGTTGGAACAGCAAGGTGTCATCCCCAAACTGTTCCCACACCATAATCCCTCTCCACCAAACATTACACTTGGCACAATGCAGTCAGGCAAGTACCATTTTCCTGGCAACTGCCAAACCCAGACACGTCCATCGGATTGACAGACAGAGAAGCATGATTTGTCACTCCAGAGAAGACATCTCCACTTCCGAGTCCAGTGGCGGTGTGCTTTACCCCAAAGTTTGGAGGTCTGTAGCTATTGACAGTTGGCGACTTCTGTGCACTGTGCCTCTGACCCTGCTCTGTCATTTTCTGTGGCCTACCTTAGTGGTGAAGAGATTGGAGAAGGCAGAAGTGAACAAACTAGGACAAAATAGCTGAACTGGAGAATTTTTCCAAATCAGCTATGTTGGCCTAGATTGTTAACTTCTCCAAACTCTTCACCCTTTTGTGAATAACCCCATAAATATTTAGAAAGGTAGGTGCCAAGTGTGTGGATTATGAGTATCACACCCCTAAATACAGTATATGAATTAAAGAAAGCAGAAGGCCACCTGAGCACAAATATCCGGGGGCTATGTTATTACGGGGCTTTCAATTGATACTCAAAGAAAGTATACTGACAATGAAATTCATAAAGTTATTCATTTTCTTAGTTTCCATTAAAAAGCAAACTATAACAAAAAAGCAAGATAAAATATTCACATGAAATCTGGAAGCCCAGATATAATCTGAAAGCAGTACGAACCCACCCAGGACTATAACTACATCAAGATGATTTCTCTATGGTATTCTTTGTATATACAAGATGGCTATAAGTATAATGAATATATAATGGTGCTTGGTCCTGATTTCTCAACGCGTTTTGCACTTTGGCTTCCTCAGGAGGAGTGTTTGCTAACATATTCCAATAGAATAATAAACAAAAAATAATGAAATACCAGAATAAAGAACCCTACAGACTAGGAGGAGAGATATATTCAACAGAATCACAATAAATAAGTTGAACATATATATTACTGTATATCCTTCAAAATGTCATAACCTGTGAGTGCCAGCTGGAAACCATAGCAAGATTCAATGGGGAAAATATCCCCAACCCCTTGGTGGGGACCGCAAGGGGGTCAAAATCTAATGCTGGAATGTCAGTCAGGGTGATCTAAAATGAAAACTAATATAAATAAATAACAAATCAGTGAAGAATAAATCAAAAATATCACTAATTAAAGCTGATAATGAGCTCTACAAAGGTTAACTTGAGGCCAAGAAACCTCATTGCAATCCCTCAAAAAAAAGAGAAAAACCAAAAAAAAGAATGGTTTTAAAAGTTCTAAGGTTCTTTTAGTCTTGCCCACATAAAAGGCTTTGTGTTTTTGTGGGCAAGGCTAAAAGAACCTTTAGAAAAAGGTCAAATGATCACATCTGCCTTGCATCAAATGGAAAAATGACCATCAGTAGGCACATTGGGTTGTACCACCATTTGGATACATCCATAATAAAATGAACACCGTCTTACAGACAAGACATAGCAGACTGCAAATTGGTAAGGATATTTAACTATTGCAATACAGTGAGTATTTTTTAAATCTGGTTTGATGAAAGTAATGATTGGATAATGTGTATGGAAGGCATTTATTTGCAAATGTTGTTTAAGGCCAGCTCAGACTAAAGATATTCTTGAGTATGAGAGTATTGAGCTTGTGTAGGTAAATATATCTACTATACAATGCACTTAAACAATTTTAATGTTACTACAAATTGAAAAAGCAGCAAATAGTATCCAATTCATGCCAACACTTTGCACGGATGGTGGCTTGAAATCCTGGCAGTT